CAGCTCTTTAGGACAATCCATGCAGAATAAATGAAACATGCAGCCTTCAACAATAAGTCAAATTCATTAACCAGCACTGTGTTAATAAGAGGATAAGAAATTTGCTGGGCTTATCTGCACTCCAGCCTAGTGCAGTTCACTAGGATGGAAAGCAATCTCTATAGTGATATAGCAGTGGTAGAGTTAAGGGCTATTCTGTCATTTCCTGTCTTTCTTCCAGGACTTGAGACAATGGTGCATATTCTGGATCACATAGATCCATGTAACCTCGTATAGCTCTATGTAACCCAGCTCTATGTAACCCTAACGTTAGTGATAGGTCAGGGGGAGGAGCTTCCAGAGGGCATTGAGAGGACCCCTGGACACTAGCCTCTGGGTAGTCCTTTGTTCTTTGGGCATCACATCTAGCCACATGGCTGGAAATCCCACAATCACCCAACCATGTGACGCTTGGGAGAAGAGGGGAAAATCCAACATAAATTTACCTATGGGAACGAACAGAGAGATGTTAAGCCAGGAGCAGCCTCATGGACCCAGGTATTTCTTCTGGAATAAAACATTTATCTGTTTAAAAATTGTTTCTATTGAGTGATCTGTCTGCTTCGGATGAAACACCCAGCCGGTGTTCTGTCTGGATCCAGAACAGTGCATTTTTTGAAAGACTCAGAAGAAGGATTTGAGAAGGAAGCCCTTTTCTTCAAATTCAAAGTAAATGTATTTAATATGGTCAATGACCAGCAAAGTGAAAAAGAAAAAGAAACAGTAACCAAATCCTCCAGTGAAACCGTTATATAAAATCTAACACGCCTTCCTCAAAAATACTCAGTTCTAGCTCTGCTAAAAGGAAAGATGGAAATATGTTTTGTGTCTAAAAATGCTTTTCCAGACCACCCAGAAGAAGGATTTTTCTTACAATGGACTTGCCACGTCTCCCCTTCCAATTTTATTTTATTTTTGCCCTTATGGCCTCAAATCCCCAGTTTTTGGTCTTTTCCCTCCAGTTAGTACTGTAGTAGTATTTTTTTAGTTCTTCACTCTACAGATCCTGATGCTGACACATATCAGTAAGTCACATTCTAATCTAAAAGGAGTGCAATAATATTATCGTAATTTCTTGTTACTTCATTTTATGAAAATATGTAAGACAATTAAGTCCTGGTCACCTCCATGCTCCAAGGCACATGGTATGGTGATGAATATACCATCTAACCTACCAACTTTTAAACAGCTGAATTACATATGACACTTTATCTACACCAGTATTTTGTAACTTCAGTGAATTTAAGACAGGTGGACTTCAACTCTAGAATGTTCGCTGGGGAATTCTGGGAATTGAAGTCCATACATTCTGAAGTTGTTAGGATTGAGAAACACTGATCTACACTCAATGAAGTATCTGATGATCTGCAATCATCTGATACCGCAAGGGGCACCTTTTGTTTAATAGAACTGGATTATGTTCTAATGAAACTGTTTGGTCTTCAAGAAGCACAGATTCTGGTTAAAGAATTTGATGGGATTGGGTAAGGGTATGATGGTGACATAAGCATTTTCATTAACCATTCAGAATGGCTTGACAGGACCTATCTACAAAACAGGAGTGTCTGTAGGGGGAGTCAAAACAGTCAAGAGGGCTGCCACAATTATGCAATTGGCCCATTTTAATATGCATGACATATGCTTAAAAGGGTGGACTTTGATCACATGGTTGTGGCCATCTTAACTTTTTTGTCCTGCCCTTCCCCTCCTCCTCCCCCCCACTACCGCAAACACTACTACTACAGGCAACTACTTAAGAGGTTAACATAAGTGTTGCTCTTGAGTAATTCCAAAAAAATTTTAAATCTTCTATGCAACTGATAGAACATCCTTTAACAAAGCTTTAGCACAGTCCTATGGCTGAGAAAACACCCAAATGATAAAATGAAATGAAATGAAATCAAACAAGCAGCCCTATTGCTAATCCAATTTCCTGGGCCTAATGAGCAAACCCTTTAGGGAACATAAAAGTCACACATTCCAATTTCAATCTCTTTTGGTCTAATCTTTGGAGCTCTTTCATTAACTACTCTTCCTGCTGATCTCTTGACTTCAACTCTGTAATCAGTAGAAGGGAGTGAAGGTTTTTCTTCACAGAGAGATTTGGAGTCCTCTCAGATCAGGCTTTTATTGTGTAAGCAGTGTGCCTTACTTTATTTTTCCACTAATTATCTGTGGATTTTTTTGTGATGAAATAGATAGGAACACTGCAAAATGTCTTTTGTTTGACAGCAGTTGGGTTCTCTTCCTATGAAGAGAAATTCATTGGATTTTTGCCTGCTATGGAACCGAAAAAGATAGTGGAAATCTGCTGTGTAGTGTGTGTGCATGAATGGCAGGCTATATTGTGGTTAGGTACCACTGTGTCTATAAGCATCAGCAATATGGTGATAAGAGCCGTGATGGTGCAGTGGTTAGAATGCAGTATTGCAAGCTAATTGCATTCCCACTACCAGAAGTTCGATCCTGACCAGCTCAAGGTTGACTTAGCCTTCCATCCTTTCAAGGTCAATAAAATGAGGAGCCAGATTGTTGGGGGCAATATGTTGACTCTGTAAACCACTTAGAAAGGGCTGTAAAGCACTATGAAGTGGTATATAAATCTAAGTGCTATTGCTATTGGTATATACCAGGGGTTCTCAATTGGCGGTGCGAGATGATATTCCAGGAGGTGCGAAAACTTGGGTTTAGAAATTCCAAAATTATAGTGTATATGCATAATTCGTTGCCGTTATTTCGAACTTTTGTAAGGTGTGCGAGAATATATCAGAAGTGTTCTAGGGGTGCGGCGTATAGAAAAGGTTGGGAATATACAATGACCAGAGAGATGATTGGACAATGCATTGGTGTGTGAGTTGATTCTACTGTCATGAAGTAGGCTTGGTTTGATCTTTCACTCATTCTCCATTAGATATTGCATTCAACAATCCTTGAACCTGAGCTTGCAAGGTTGACTTGCTTTTCGTGAGGAAGAAAAAACTGTTCAGAGCAAAATATCATCAGTGCATGCCTCAAATCTTATCAGGCACTCAGGTCAGATAATTTCCACATTACCAAATTTATGCTGGCATCCAACCAATTTTTAGGCTGATTATCAGTAACATATCAAACCTTCACAGTCCAGTAATGGCTGGGTGATGGGTGCACCTTCACAGTAGCATGCAAACACTTTGCTGACTGTTTTGGAGGGCCCCATCCCACTGTAAACTCAATTCAAAATTGTTTTTAGTTGTTCTGCTGTTCAAGTGGTGTTTTCCTTCTTTTGACATAAATCCTCCTATACAATCTCTAAGGCCTCATTGGTGTTGTCATTGACCAAGTTCCCTTTGGCAGCTTTAGAGTGCTGTGGGATCATCCTTTCCATGCTCAATCTCTAGGCATACATCCATTTTGACACATACCTACCACGAATAGAATGGGCCTGTCAACCAGGATATTTCATTTTCCCTACTTTTTTAAAATTTAGGACTCTCCATCTCTTATGGCAATTCCCCCCCCCCTAATTTTATCTGTTAAGTGGGGCATGGGAAGGGAAGCTTGCTGAAACATACTGAAAGCAGGCATTTTGCAATATAACTCCATCTGGACTGTGTATTTTTCACGAATGAAGGCAAATGTGAATCCCCCCCACTATCCTGTTTTTTTAAAACAGGAGTCTAGCTATCTCCTGAAGTACCAACACAAGTCTTTAATTGTTATTTTAACATTGGTCGGTTGATCTCCTAAATGATTTTTTTTATTTCAGGCAGAATGCTCTTTTCCCAGATAGGTCTATCAATCTGTTCAACTTCTTTCGTTATAAACTTTTTTTTTTTAATGCCCAGCATCTCTGCACTGCAGTGGCAGCTCCAAGAATAAGGGAAGACCCGGAGGAAGGGACTGGAAATCCCCAGTAGGAGATCGCTATTTAAAGAAACGTATCCAAGTGACCACATTGGAGGAGAACAGGACGGGCTGGGAGAAAACGCCTAAAAATGGCCAGTCGCGCCTTACCTAAAGTTAAGAGCAACGGGGGTACTTTTCCCACCCGCAGGTGTGGCTGGGTGGGTAGAGAAATGAAGCCAAGGAAACCACAAACTGCCGGCTTGAACTCCCGCGTTCAAACTGCGAGACCGCACCGCTCCTCTGCTGCCTGTGACATCAGAAAGCCCAGCTGTGCGGGATGCACTATTTGTTAACCACCGATTCTAGGAAGGTTAAAAAAAATGGTATCAAGCACCTGGAAGACCAGGACTCCCGTAGGAGGCTGCCAAGATCCGCACGGTTAGCGGAGGGCAGCAAAGAAGGGCAGGTTTTCAGATCTGTTTGCAACCCTCTAGTGGTGCTCCAGAGTTTTGAAGCGCACGCTCGATGCGCTCAAGAACAGAAACGGCACCCCGATTCGGGGTCTATCTGGAGGTGAGATACGTCTCCAAATAGTCTCCATCCGGGAGCGCCCCCACCCCCAACGCCTGCGTCGAGCGGCTGCCCGCAAGAGCGCTCGTGCACTCTGCAAAGTTCCCGATTTCTGGCACGACTTCGGATTCCGGCCGTCGCCGTCGAATTCAGTCGAGCGAGCGCCCGTGCCGGCTGCGCAGCGAGGTCCTGCTAGAGCCGAGCTGGCCCCCGGCGCTCGGGCAAAGAAGCTGGGCTGAAGCCGAGCTCGCACTGCCCCCTGTGGAGGCGGATCTCCTCGGCGAGCGCCCAGCTCTGCCCCCGCGCCGCCGCCCGCCGGAGGGAGCCCCGCAGACTATGCCAGAGCCCTCGGCGGCGGCGAAGTGGCGCTTCCCTCTGCGCGCGGCTCGCTCTCCGGCCCCAGGTGAACTGGGCAGAGGCGCAGCTTCGGCGGCCGAGCGAGCGGCTAGCTCCGTGGGCGGGAGCAGCCCGGGGACGCCGGAGCGCTGGGAGCCGCCGCCACCGCGGCGTGGAGAGGCGGGCATGCAGGGTGGCGGCAGTGGGCTTCCTGGGTAGCCCTCCTCAATATGGTCTTCGTCTGCAACGGCACCAGCAGCTGCCCCGTCTTGGCTAGCAGCACCCTGGACTCCTTCGCGCCGGAACCTCCCCGGCCGTTGGGCGGCACCGGCGGTGCCGGGATGATTTCTGGCTCGTTGAATCCGCCCCGATTAGGGATAGGCGGGAAACTTCTGCAAGGGGTTACCGCCGGCCCCGGAGGTGGAGGCGAGGGTGGCGGCGTAGGCGGCGGCGGGACCAGCACCGGCAGTCTCAGCGCGCTCAGCCCGGGCTTCGGCGACGCCGGGAACGACACGCACTGCGGCGAGCAGATCCTGAACTACGGCAACGTGGAGAAAGTGGTGATCGGAGCCGCCCTGACGCTCATCACGTTGCTGACCATCGCGGGCAACTGCCTAGTGGTGATCTCGGTCTGCTTCGTGAAGAAGCTCCGCCAGCCCTCCAATTATCTCATCGTCTCGCTGGCCTTGGCCGACCTGTCGGTGGCCGTGGCCGTCATGCCCTTTGTCAGCGTGACCGACCTCATCGGCGGCGAGTGGATCTTCGGCAGCGTCTTCTGCAACGTCTTCATCGCCATGGACGTGATGTGCTGTACCGCCTCGATCATGACTCTCTGCGTGATCAGCATCGACAGGTGAGCAAAGGCGCGTAACCCCGACGGCGGGGCACCTCGTTTGGGTGCGCCCGGGACGCGTGGAAGCCCGGCTTGCGGGAAGGGAGCGCAGCCTTCGCCGGCGCGCAGTCGGGCGGCGGCTGAAGTGGATGAAACTGCTTTGGGTTTTGCCGCGCTACTTCGGAGCTCGCCCTTTCCTGTTAGTATAATCCGCCTGAAGATTTGGCTTCTCGGTGGGAAAGAAAACATCACGAGAAGCTCCGATAAGTTGGGTAAAGTTGAGTAAAGGTAAACGATCGAGTCTTGACCTTTGGTCAGGCTGAGTTCAATGCAAAGGATTACCCATTTCGGATTCCTTAATTGGATTACCTATAATCACCCCGCTTTGTACCACTCGATAATTATGGTGTGTTGATGAACCCTGAAATGCTAAGATTTATTTTTAAAAATCCATACATAGATATACAGAACTCAGACTGATTGTGAGTTATCTGAAGTACCTAGAATTATATTGGGGATAAATTATAACTCCCCCCCCTTAAATAGAAGCCTGATGCCACCTGTAAAATAGGTTTGGAAAGTCTTTCAGGCTGTGTGACTGTGCTCAGGGGTTATTCTAAGGAAAGTCTGAAAAAGAGTAATTGTTCCAAATTCATCATCATGAAAAGATATGTTGGGGTTGAACACCTATGGATGCAAAACAAGTTTGTACAGAAAATATCTGAGTTGGTAGAAATGGTGGAAGGCTAATCTATCTGAAGAGCTTCAAAGCTTTCTAGAGGTTCCACCTATGGAACCATTCCTGATATTGCCATTCCCAGAAAACTAAAGATATACCTAATAAATGTTTTTCCTACCATCAAATAGGGGTCTTGTCCTTCCCTCAAAACCTCTGGACATTAGGGGTTATTTTTGACACTGAAGTCAACTTTATTTCTTTACCTGCCTACCCTGGAAAACCATGAACTATTGATGTTGGGGAGTTTATCTGCAAAAGCTGTGAAAAGTTTGAATGGAAGTGTAAATTGTTTGACTGGAGTTGAGAATAGTTTTGTAAGCAATCCAGCAGGGGTCTCTTTTGAGTTGCAGTAGCCTTGAAAAGAATAGACACTACAGTAAACTCTAAAAGTCAGGCAAAAGAATGGATATTTGATGTGAAGAAAAGAGGATGCAGGGAAACCCTCCAGAATAACTATGCTCCTTCAACATCCTTATCAATGACCACCTGAATCATCTTTATTCCATTAACCCAATTATGGCTGTATATGTCACTCAGAATCCACCAGATGACAAAGCATTCTGCTGAAATGTATTTGGCTAATTTTGGTTCAGTCTGTCCTATAAGCATAGCCATAGTCTGGTGTAAGATATTCAAGAGTATCAAGCTGTATTGTTACAAACAGGATTATCTGCCCAGGAATATGCTATATTGTAAATAGAATCCTTCTTCTCAAGTTCATTGGTCCATCAGCTTGGTTCTGCGCAGAAATGGACACCCCCAAGTGTGTCAAGAGAATTTATTCTGCCTTATTATCCAACCTTAACTTTCTTCTTCTTTTGATGTTTCCATATTCATATGCCACACCAAAAAATAAACATTAAATAACGTTAAAATCTTTAAGTGTTTTTGGCATCCATGCTTGTTCAGAAGTATTTTTTTTAATCTTGGAGATTCATGTCAATTGGGAGAAGGGTGTTATGTGGTAGTTCTGAGAATTATGTGAAATGAAATAGGTCTTTGCTTTTTATGGTCATTAACAAAAATTGTTTCACTGTCCCACAACTTTGTAAAATAGGCTTGCAATTTTTGCAGAAATCCTGAGAGTTTTGATAGCATAATAAAATAGAATATCATGTGTACTACATACTATTACAACATATTACATACTATTAAATGTAATTTACAATTTGTAGTGTGTGATTTGATATGCCAGTCTTCCTTAACCTGGTATTTTCCTTGATTGGAGAAAGTCATTGTGGCTAAGAATTAGGGTAGCTATATCAGGCTAGGGGAAACTCCCAGCAGGATAGGGATAGGAGTGGGGAGCCATGATTTATGATTTTCAGCAAAGGATGCTTTATAGTTTTTTCACCAAATCAACAAACAAAAAAGAGGTTCTTTTCTTTAAAAGGTTCTTTAAATATCAATCTAAGTTTTGACAGTGAGGAAAACAATAGAGATAAAAGGGTTGTGAAAAGACCCCTAATACCTTAAAAAAAAGAAAGGAACAAATGCCTTAATATGTCTGCACCAGAAGCGTCCTCAAGGTAGGGTTAAAAAAAAAGTCAGGGTAGTGGCTACAGCCTTGGCCATATGTCTGTACATTCCTTCTTTCCAATATTAATTTTTCAATTGAAGTAGATTCTGCTAATTTATCATAGTTAAGGACAGGAGATTTTAAATTCCTTTTGTATTACTTTAGATGTAAGACTTGAGCTTCTTGCAGTTTTTCTACTCTTGTGGAGGTATTTCCTGCACATTAATCTCTCTTTGCAAAGTTCTCTCTTACATTGAAACTGAACATGCAGCTGGTAGGGCCATATCTACTGGGCATCCCGGAAAGTGAGACATTTGGCCAATTTTGACTTCCAATAGTTAGTGAAGGTTGCAGGTTATAAACCAGTGATGCCCAGCTTTGGCAACTTTAAGATTTGTGAACTTCATTCTCTATGCTTGCTGGAGAATTCAGGGAGTTGAAGTCCACAAGTCTTAAAGATGCCAAGGTTGGATACTCCATTATAAACCCTTAGAAATGTTACATAAGGCTCACAAAGGCAATGCAAATTATAGCCTGACCTTTATAGCCAGAATGCAGCATTTCAGAATCCCTCAAAGTGATCATGTTTGTAAGTATAGAATATTATCCCCATAGGGCAAAACCTTATCTACAAGGATTGCTCAAAGCAAGAGGCTTCACAGGTGGAAGCAAAGCAATGTCAGACTTGATTAGAAATTGGATGGGAGGCTGACAAAGAATCCCAAGTATATAGCATGGGAAGCTGAAAAAGTATTCTGAGAGAAGGCAGTATACTTTGGTATGGTTACTAAGAAAATTCTATGGATGGATTCATCAAATCATTAGGGGTTAAGCTCAGCTTGAAAGAGACTTTATTAGTGGAACTAGAGAAAATGATAATGAACAAAATGATTAAGTATCCTGAAATAGAGTTTTAATATTGTAACTGGCCTTTGTATATTTTGGATTGCACTGGTGACTTTTCAAAAAATCTTGTAATTAAATGGAAAAGAATTAAAATGTCATCAAAAACTTAATATTGAAACAGGCATTTTCACTAACTGTGAATTTACTCCCATTTCTGTAAATAAGAAATGGTAAGTTTTTATTCTTGGAAGATAAGAGGGGTTGCTTTAAAAGGTCAATTTTGGCTTATGGATTGTCAGTTTTTCCTATATTTTTCCATGGATGGAGAAAAAGCTCTGAAGATCTCAGTTCCACAGCCCTGGGCAAACTCTGTTCTGAGACATGAAGCCAATCTTGGACATGTTTGCTGGCCTTGAAAAATGATGAGCCAGTGTTTCTATGCAAAATAAGGGCACTTTAGCACTGTAGAAACCAGGTCAGCAGAATTTTGGAGGGCAAGAAGGACGACAAGAGCAAATAGGGAATGAGTCAGGCAGAGGTGAGCTAGGAGATTTGAAAGCACCTTACTACAGAAGTAAGTTACTTTCTCATATTGCAGATGTTCCATAGTAAATCAGGTTGTGGTTACTTAACAAGAAACGACTTCAGTGAATATATTAAAACACAGATCTAGAGAAGTCCAATCCAGCCAAGGAATGTGGTTAGAATACATCCTCCTTCAAACCTGTCTATTTTCCCATAACAGTTATTTCTATAATTCCTGATTCGTACATGAACCACTCATATTGCTTCTCCTGTCTCTCCTAAGAATATTAAAATAACACTGCATGATATTAAAGGCCCATCTGGTCCACTCTTCTAGGGGACAGAATTGCCAGGCCAATGTATCCTGAAATCTTTCAAGTAGGAGACAAGGCAAAGAGCCCTTTTCTTCTGTTATCCTACAGCTGCTCTGGATTTAAGATAAAGTCTCTTTCAAGTTGAGGCTCTCTTTCAAAACCCCCTGAAGGGGTGGTCTTTGTTGGCATCTGCTGGCAATCAATTCCATAGTTTATGCATCAAGTGGAGAAGTATTTATTTTTATTGCTCTTAAATTTCCTGGGTATTGAGATTCAGCGGGGATCTCAAGTCCTTAATGCTGGGAAAGAAAGAGGATGAGGGAATGCCTCTTTTTCTTCATATTTTCCAGGCTGAGATATCATGCATCCCATTATTTTTTCTTTCCAAACCCCATAGTCTCAAATGCTGTATACATTCATGGATATGTAAGTTGCTCTGGCCTCCAAATAATTTTAATTGCCTGTTCCTATGCCTTTTGAGGCTTTACAATATCTTTTTGCAGTGCACTGTTTAGAACTGTGTAACATTATAGGAATCCTTCCCACCCCACCCCAAATCTTTAATCTTCAAAGAGTCCTGCACATTCAAATATAGTAGATCATGTTAATAGCAGCTTCTTCAATACTGTCATATAGCCAAATCAAGAAAATAGCAAATCTTGGATTGCTGTTCTTAATCATCCTGATGATTTGCTGAATGTCCTTTTGGAAATTTGCCCTGAAATTATGAGCATTCTTTAGCCACAAATTAACCACTTCCATCTCAGTACCCAACAAAGATCACTTACTATAACCTTCCTGGCTTTTCATTCTTTTAATTTCAGTGTGCCTTAATGCAGTCTCAGAATGATGAGCTTCACATTCTCGACTGCTATCATGATTATAAATGCTGAAGCTTACCTACAATTGGAGAATTTTGAAGATCAAACTTTCTTAGTTTTGCATTTACAGCACTGTAAATACCATATGCCTGGCCTACATAGAATTTTTATCAATTTAAATATTACCCTGCTGTCACCCATGTAAGACACTGGCTTGTCCTTCATCATTTCAGAATATGAGGTGTGTATTTGAG